GTCCATTATGAACCAATCAAATTTTTGCATTGAAATCTGCCCCCAACATTTCTCTGTCCAATGGTAAAAACCGCAGCTCTCTATCATGTTTCGTTCAAAAATTATTCGAGAAGCAATGGAGTCTCTTCTATTTGGAAAAGGATAATAGAAATTTGACAAAATTGTCGAGTTTCCGAATTTGTCGAAATTCTTCAGGAATTTCGACAATATCAATTTTTGCTGATGATTTTATTGTCCAATATCCGATGGAAATTGGACAATATACATCATACACTGAAAACAAAATAGCACCACATGGAACCTAAACGTTTTCCCCCTCAGTGCGAAACTCATAAAAGGTTTTAAATTTTCTCACTGAACTTAAAAAGTGTTTCGAGCTTTGAAACAAATTTTGAACCATTTATAGGTTTTCCACAATACCTTCGAAAACTTTTCCTGGAGTATTTATAATCGTTGTGAGACTATCTCGGGGTTTTACGAAACCTGTTTGAAGGTTTCGAATTCGTTTTAAAAATGGCTCCGTGTGGTGCTATTTTTGTTTCCAGTGTACACTGGAAAAAAAATTTGCAGAATAATAAATCCAAAAAGGGTTGATGAAAGTGCAACGTATAATAAATTTTTTCTACCGTATTTAAAACTATCCTAAACCCTTTCATAAACCCTTTTAAATACGTTTTCTAGTGAGGCAAGCATCTAAAGGTTTTTTTTAGAAAAGTATTTTATATGTTACCCAATCATTATTTTGCTATTATTCCAATTCAGGTTGCGTTTCAGATCGTATATATAGTATATATATATACTTTTATAGATTTATAATTAATTAAGTGATGTACTTACTGTTGTCAGTTGGGTTCGAACATATGACATAATCCACGATTGTCTAACTTGTTATCCATTCGATCAGATTCGCGCTCCAGTTGCATAGTATGAAATGTACTTTTAAATAAAACGATGTTCTACTAAATAAGCGCTTCCTATCTGATGAAGAAATCGGAATAATAGATTTCTGTACCGCTTATTTGTTTGAAATTGAATGATATTTTTAAAATATTATTAAAGTAGATCACTTAAATTTTATAGTTCATATTACAGATATATCGATATTTAAAAGTATATTGTATATTTAATAAACAATTTAATTGATAGGAATTTCTTAAAATAATTTAAAAATAATTTTTAGAATTTTTTCTAAGTTTTTTTCTTTAGGGACTGAAAAATAACGCTTAGAAATATCTAAATTTTAAAAGAAAAATATTGTGAAAGATTTAGTATTGTAATGTTTTTTAGAACTCCTCAATTTTCGAAAACTTTATATTGATTAATGGTATTCTTCTCGATCGAAATATGTTTGCTTTTGGAAATAACCACCTTAGAAAAATATTTCAAGTGATAGTGAGAGAGCGCTTTGTTGAAAAGTTAGAATAATTAACTCTTGATCATAGAATCATAAACGCTTTTCATGAAAAAGTAGAATAATAAACCCATAGTTACGCAACGCAAAACGTTTTTTTGCGATAAGACACAGGTATGAACCTTTCATCGTAGAATAAAAAACCCTTTCCATAAAAATTATAACCATAAACCCATAACCGTAGAACAAGAAACTCTTTTATGAAGGGTATATTGGTGAACCTTTCTTTTTCTCCGCATAAACCCTTTTTTCATTTAAAATACCCTTTTTCTCAAAAACCCTTAAAGGGTCTAGGAAAATTTTCCGAAAGTACTAGGATTTCTTATTTTACGAATTTTTTTTACAGTGTAGTTGAAATTAATATGTTAGTGTAACGAATTTTGTTTGATGATAAGTGGATAGTTTATATTCGTTACTACTGCAGTATTTATTTTTATTTGTGATCACAAAGAGAAACTGGAAGAGTAGCGTTACCGCTATCCTCGGTGTATACAAGATGTTAGTTGCACTACTCCATTCTCCAATTTTCCAGTTCTGTTCCAGTTCTTCTGTATAATACAATGTACTCGCTTTATATACGTGCACACGAGAGAGAGAGAAGAATAGAAAAAGATATAATAGGCATATGCGCATTACGTAGGTTATGTCTCAAGATGTAATCCGGTTACATAAAAGTAGATGGATAACATTAAGAAATAAACCAGATAGATTGATGACAGTAACGAGTTATGCAAGGTCTATGGCCTATTGCATAACACTCATCATAACATATTCCTCCTTCCTAATACCGGATCAGAGGATATTCCAAATAAATGGAAACGTAAATATGTGAACAATAAAGGATGTCCATGCATTATTGGCACAGTTAGGTTGAAATACACATTCACCCATTTGTCAGTGAATAGAAAGCAAAGAATTACTATGTAATTCTGCAGTTTCACATGAAAAAGCTTGTTAGCGCAGCCCCCTTGGGGCTAAAATGTGAAAATCACATATATCACTTCGACTTACTAAAATAATTCAAAAAATTTCATCTGAAAAATCTACCCAGATTTCCAAAACCTATAATTAGGTCATTGCTTATTTGCTTATGTCTGTAATCGAGTATTAAGTGTTAGCTCGTATATTTAACAATGACAGATACTAGTTTCTGTGGTCTGTAATGGGCGAACATTGCTGTTGTCGTGTAGTCTATAATTAAAAAAGGAAGAAATAGCAGTCTAATCAATCAAGCTCCTAATTAGCACAATTTTAAACTCATTAATGTCTGTAATGGTGAGGAACTTGGAACCATCAAAAATCTCGCATTTACACTTAGACTCATCATTTTCTTTGAAAATATATCTGAGTTTCACAAAATGTTTTCTTTTTTTTATTAGAAGCGCGGAAAAAAGCAAAAAGAAACAAAGCATATGATTTTTATATAAATAAGTCGAACATGAGAAATTGAAAGAAAGAAACAGAATTTCAGATCGAAGATATTCTTAATCTGAGGGTGTGGGTGTAGTAATAAATAGTCAATCCCACTCGCAATCCGACACCCACACACGCTTGTTTCGGAAAATGTATGTCATAGGTTAAGAATATCTCTTTTCTAAAATTCTGTTTCTTTCTTTCAATTTCTCATTTTCAACTTATTTATAGACAAATCATTTCCATTGTTACTTTTTGCTTTTTTTAACGCTTCTAATAATAAAAAAGAAAAAGGTTTTCATGTGAAACTTTGTATATTCACATAGTACTTCTTACCTTTTCTGTTCATTGACAAAACGAGTGAATGTGTATTTCTACCAAACATCTTAGTTCTAACTATCATGTATATTGTCCGATACCGATGGAAATTGGACAATAAAATCATCAGCAAAAATTGATATTGTCGTAACTCCTGAAGAATTTCGACAAATTAGGAAACTCGACAATTTTGTCAAATTTCCAGTGCCATTGGACACACTGTAAAAAAAATAGGATCTTTGCGAAACCTAAAAAGGATCCTCACTTGGGTACACGGTAAGATCCTTTTTCGGGTTCCGTAGAAAATGGGTTTCCTACGGAAATTTTACCTAATACATGAAAAAAATGGCTTCATACACAAGGTTCCGTACGAAACCTTTAACAGAAAGAACAGGTGTCGAACCAATGGTTTCGTGCGGATCCTTTAGAAGAATATGTCGAAAAGGTTTCGTACCGCACCTGTGGTACAAAACCTTTCCAGAATGATGCTCAAAAGATTTCATTAAGATGGTTTCGTAAGAACCCCTTCAAGCTGTTTTCGAGTTGAGGATCTCTATATAAGGTGGACTTGCATGAGATAAGAAGAACGCTAGAAAAATGTCGTTTAACAGTTCATCGTTGGAAAACTCTTTAGGTTACTTGAGTTCTGTTAGGCTGATAACGAGTCACTCTATGTAGCTGTCATATTGGTTTTGAGTTCGCTCTATGTATGGTTACGTAGAGCTACCTGAAGCATGGCAAACTCTAGAAAACGATCTCTCATAAGCCATCGTTCGCAATTGATAAATATTTTCCTTGAATTTTAACATATACTACAAAACGCATCGGTAAATAGAATGAAAGTATTTACATAATTATATATGTATATGAGACTTCAGCGACATACTAGGTAAATATATGGAGAGAATGTCCCAAAAATTTTAATACCAAAAATACTAAAGTTCACAAAAAATATAATAGTTCGTCACCTTTGGCGATATTCGAGCGATGTTGTTGAATT